GTATGCATTGAGGCAGGATGCTTTGTCAGTCTGTGCCTATGAGGAGCTATTGAGTGTTTAACTTCTGCTGTAGCTTCCCTGTGAATAGCACCACTCCTATGCTGAACCTGAACGCGACGCATAGAAAATCTGTAAAATAAATATGAGCCTTCCAGGTGTTGTGGTAATTGTTATACATTAAAGAGTTTAGATTTTTTTGGAGTGAGGTTCTGTGTGGTTACAATCAGTTTAGCCCGTTTTTGGTGCAATAGCAGACTACACAGTGTGAGCTAATCTGGAAAATGAAAACAACTGACAGGCTCAATCAATGTCATTTCACATGGAAGTGTAGATATTTTCCTGAAAAAAAATAAATGATAATTTTAAAGAATCTCGCTGGAAAAATAATCTAAAATAACTCTTTATGGTTTACAAAAAAATTAGGCATTAGTTTTGCCAAATTTTCTGAAGAAGAAATGCAAGAAATGATGCTGATCTGCAGCAGAGGCTTTATCACCTCTCATGGTTCTTCTTTTTAGTGCTAACTGAATAAATGGGTGTTAACAGTACTTCAGCCAGACGCATTACGTAACAGATATGTGGCAAGATAGGTTCATAGTAGGGCTGTAGAATAATATCGATATCGCGATATATATCGATATTTTCTTTCCTAGAAAAAAATCGATATTCATCAGTAAGTATCGTAACATCCAACTGTCATCTTGCTCACTCACTGCTTGCTTCGCCGGGAGAGTGATTAGGTCATCAGGCTTAGAGTGATTCCTTCAGATGTTAAGTGTCAAGGTTAAAAAGGTATGAGACTATTCAGAGCAGGGTGCTTGGTGCACTTTATTTACTTTATAAATCCATGTAAGCTAGTTTGTACTGTTTCAATTAAAAGAAACATGTTTTCTCTCCACTTTGATTCTTTTTGTCCAGCTGTCGATTTTAAGTCTGTGTCCATGTCCAACCAAAGCCAGACATTGTGTAGTTGGTGCTTTTAATCAGTTTTCCGTTAAATTAATTCAATCCAACTCTATAACAGTCACAAAATATCACCAAAATCACTCTGTCCCTCTAAAATCTTTCAGAAAATCGCAAAAGTGTATCGAATTGTATCGTCTGATGAATATCGCAATATATATCGTATCGTGGACAGAATATCGTGTACCGTATCGTATCGTAAGATTACTGTATCACTACAGCCCTAGTTCATAGCCACTTTCTGTTTGGCATAGAATGTCAAGCTTGACTTTCTTTGCAGCTAGCTATAACAACGCTGCTTTTGGATAGCAACAGAAACTAAAACTCAGTTCTTTTCAAATTCATAAACAGCAACATCTACACCAGTAAATAACTTGGCAATCTACCTGGCCCATCTTCACTTACCCCTGCGGTATGCAATGATGACAAATATATTGTCATCATCAATGACTTTGGATTTTGCCCGTTTTTTTTTTTTTTTTTCCTCCTCCAATGCAGCAGCTCTGGTGATCACAGATTTACCTGACTGGGCGTTGTGGAAGCAGTACTCCTTGACTTCAGTACTTGGTTGTCTGTTATTAAGCCGCCCAGTGAAACCTCTTGAGAAACTAAACTTGGCGTTAAGAGCCTTTGAGCCACTTTACCTGTTGTTAACCTCTTGTATATCTCTGTATTTAGATTCTCTCAAGTTCTCCCCTGTGCAGCTGTGGAAGTCTCTTATCCATCTACAAGAGTACATCTCTCCAACAAAGATCCTTCCTGTGAGAACTCACCTTTCTATATGAAGCAGCTGCTCTGCCTTTCCATCCACCCAGCGGCCCAGTCACCCCACACTCTGGAGATGATACCTGGAATAAGAAATAGGAAATTAACAGGTTGCTGGAAAACCTAGCCAGATAAAATCCAGCTCCTTGTTTTGCACCATTTGCTTCTTACAGTGGGTTTGGGCTCTCAGCTACTGAGAGAAATGATTGCTTCCTGCAGGCGTTGACTCTGTTGAAGTTTGAAATGATATCCAGTCGCTAACGTTTGTCCGTGACATATGTATTGCGCCAGTTCGACACTATGAATTTTATCGGAAATTGCCTTCGCTGCAAACAAGCGTCCTCCACGGCGAAGAGAGAAGTGCTGAGCCGAAGGAGACGACTGTTATGTTGATTCAATATTTGGAAGCATGGCCGACACAGACTGAACGGCTTCGTTCACTTCCTCTGCTGCCATTGCTAAAACTAGACAACTTCTCCTTCTGTTTGCTGATTGGCTGGCAGAAATTAAACCGGAGAAATCCCAGTGAATGGTTCAGACTGGGCTGTGGAATGAGATTTGAATCGAGTGAAATTGCATAGGATGGCAATGGCCAGGCTAATGGGAACCTACATAAGACTCAAATCTCTGTCTGCACTATTCGATTCTACCCTTACGCCTGAATAATAATAAAAAAAAAGATAAAAGGAGAATTCCAATATTTTGACATGTTTAAAAAAGGAGCTAATTAGAGACTAAAATTGCAGCCAGGAAACAAACATGCAGTTCCCTTATTTCTACTTTCAGACTGGAAGAGTATGACTTATACTGTTGATATATTTTGAGCAGGGGTGAATCTCAACAAATAAGCACAGTTAAGTACAAATAAGTACAATTAGCTTTATATGAAAAATTAAAGAAGCTATGGAAAATGGAAAACTATTAGTTTCAATTTCACTGCACTTTTTTACTCACAGCCACGAGGAAACCTTTCTAAGTGTCATTTTTTTATCAGTGTCTTTCAGCCCCGTCTCTTGTCATTTTGGGGCTTTTCATTTCCTCTTCACTTTGGTGTTTGCTGCCTTTTCACAGGAAGTTATGGTCTGCCCTGCCCCTGTTGCACATCTCTCAGTTTTGTTCTCCTGCAAGCAGAGTGTGAGCAGCGGCTCACCCTTATCTGATAAATACCTCAGCTCTTCTTCTCGTTAGAGAAAAAGCTGCCGTTCATCTTCTCCTCTGCTTTGCTGCAGCTGATCCATCTGTCACTCAACTACAGCCCGGGCGCCACCATGAGCTTACGGAAACTCGGTGAGTATCATCTGTGCGTGTGTGAACCTGTTGTTAATATTTGTGGTCCTTTTTACATATGTTGCTCCATCATCCAGTTTTGCAATGTCTTAGTTGTGAGAAGTACCAAAAGTGTTTTATTTTATAAAAGCACATCAACTATGTAGCGCTTCAAACTCACATTGGTGTGGAAAAAACTTGTGGTGGCAAAAGACCTATACTTGAAAAATCCCTTCGTAAATCCTGCTGTGACCCTGAAGGAGTCAAGTATTCACACAATAATGCAAATACAAAGTTTCCTTCATTCTTCAAGCATTAGTGAAGAAAAACAAGGTTAAGGAGTCAGTTATGGAGAGACTATATTGGTTTTGAATTATTAATTTGAACCAAACAGTCAATGATAAACAACTTCACTAACTTAAGAAAGGATTTGGGCTGCACACATTTGAATTTAAAGCATGTGTTTTTGTTTTTTAAATACACTTACAGCTTCAAATAAAAGTAGGATTTCACACTATGAATTACTTGAACATCCTGTAGCAAAGTGACCTCCACCATGTATCCATCAGACAGCTTCTGACTGGATTTTTGACATGTTTGTCAGAATTTTTTAGCTAAAGTTAATTGATGTATACATTATATTGATATTTGGGCTGCACAGTGGTAGGTAGCACTGTTGCCTTGCAGCGAGAAAGTCCAGGGTTTGAATTCTGGCTTGTGGTCTTCCAGCATGGATTTTGGGTATTCTTTCTGTGTGGGTTTCCTCTGGTTACTCTTTCTTCCTTCCACAGTCCAAAAGCATTACTGTTGGGCTAACTGTTTTTTCTAAAGTTATTCTTAGGTATAAGTGAGTGTGTGTGTTGTTTGTCCTGTGTTTCTCTATATTGCCATGTAATGGATTGGCAACCATTCCACTTCCTCTCAGCTGATGACTGCTGGAGAAGCAGGGCTGGGAGAGGCCTGCAATGATAAGCGAGTACAGCCAATGAATAGATGGACATTCTCATTAATAGTCAGGCTTTCATTTTTTTTAAATTAATGCTTATTTTGCCATTTCTTGTGCTTACATTTACAATGTGCACAATAAAAAAAGAGTCTTTGGAGACTCTGATCAACTTTATGGACTTAAAATGCAACCACATGTGGTCAATACCAATCATATTGTCATCCTTCTCACTGTATGACTCTCAGTAAACACAAATGACTTGTTGACTATTTTTATAAAATGTGCTACTGCTAGATTCTAAACTCTCAAAGAGCAGAACAAGTATTAAAATACTAGCATCGGTAATCCCAAGTAACGTTGTTGCGGACCAACATGGTTTATTTCAAGAGTAACTTCTTCCAGTCTGGCCTTGTGGGAGCTATGTGTTAAAAGTGGTAATACTAGTGAAACAGTTTTGTAATTTAGAAATAATTGGAAATCGTCAAATAAGAAGAAAAAAAACAACAAAATTGCATCTGTACTGGACATGCAGATAAACAATAGGAAACTTGTTTCATGAGTTTTGTCCCTAGATTTATATCTTATCCACCAAAGGAAAAGATATTACAGTATATAGGGTGTGAAACCTGCCCCTTTGTAGGTGTGCTGTTTCCTTTGAGTAAGTGTACAACAAACATAATATTTGAATTCACAATATCTGCATACAGTAAATTGTTAAATGCAGAGAACTTGGCCCATGTGTTGCAAATTTGGCATTTTAAAATGAATCATTTGAATAAGTTTATAAGTTACAGTAAGCTGCTTTGTCCCTTGCAGGGTTATTATTTTCAGAAGCGTTTACGCTGTTTATTGAGATGCAAAGTTTGATGGCCACATTGTGGGTAATCTTGGGTGGGTCTGTTCCACTTCTCTCTCACTGTCGCTTCTGCTTTTCAGTTATTTTAGGATATTTTATGCAATATTAAATTATCCATATACTGAGTAGTTTCCTATAAATGAAATTAATTATGTAAAAAAAATAGTAAAAAAAACAAAAACAAAGAAAGGGAATCTCCAAAGTATGATTTTGAATTGATATAATTTCTGTAATATTCAAAATGTTACAGAGTTGTCATCTCACCAACCCATGCTCTCAAACTGTTCCCATTTAAGGTTTCAAATGGTTTGGCAGCCTGACCAACATCTCTTTTCGTCGCTCCACTGACAAATCGGACTCAAAGGCCTCGAAGTCAAAGGCTGGAGATGATGGTGAATGTGCTGCCTCGGGTAAGTTGAGTCCGGTTGTCGAGACAACGCTGGACGATCTGGGGGCAATGCGTCCTCGCACTGCCAGCTACGTCCGCTCCAGTGAGGACTACACACATGTGGGCACGCTTCCTCGGCTGCTGATGAGAAAGAGGGATAAAAGCAGCAAAGGTGAGCAGGGGTGATGTTCAACAAATTATTGCAAATTATTATTTTTTTTTTACTGATGCTTTCTGAAACAGAGAGTTTCTAATAACCCATCTTGCTACAGCAATCTCCAGCAGCAGTAAAAAGACTAAAGACAAGAGCAGCGTCAGCAGAAGTCAAAGCCAGAGACCAGCAGGAGACAAGAAAGAGGTTTCACAGACACTTATAGGTTCCTTGTCCAAGACATCTGAGGTTAAAGCGGAAGTCACTGCTGACACAGGGTTGAAAGAAGTCCCTTCAGCTGAGGGTGCAGAACATGACCCGGATGTTACTTCAGCTGATTCCAAGACGCAGTCTGAACCCGTAGAAGATCCCACAATCAACCAAAGCATCCAGTCTGGAAACAATACTGCCAGTGAGGAAGTGCTACCATCTGGTGGTTCAGATGTAGTACATCAGTTGGAGGAGAAGAAAGTGTCCAACCCTGAAGAGATTCCTGTCAGTCAAGAAAGAGAAGAAACTATTGAAAGTGATGGATTAGAGCTAAAGGAGGATGAACAGGAAGCAAAGATGGATGAAGGAGACGACATTTACTGGTGAGTTTCTGTCTTCTAGTTTTTGTTGATTGAGAAAAAACAAACATTTGTGTGCAATTATGATTATTATTGAATCATGTTTCCCTTTATTCATCTTTTTAGTTTGCTGAGAACAATGTTTGTTTAATTGACACTTAGCAAATTATTTTTGCTCTTGTTTGCTTTGAGCTGAAGTTAGATGAAATTGTTAGTGGTTGCTGCCTCTGGTAGAGAACTCGTTTTTTCACAAGTATTGCACAAGCTATGATCTTACTACTTACTACAAATGTGTGTGTTTTTTTTTTGCTTTCACTTATAATATTTAGCTTTAGTTGCTTTACAAATTAAGGGTGTGAAACACAAAATATGTGAAAGGATGTTGCACTTTTTTTAAAAAAAAAAAAAAAAGAAGATTTTAGAAGTAAAGTTGAATGACTGGATAAGTTTTATTAATCAGACTCTTGATGAGTAGATGTTGCTGTATTAAAGTTTATTTAAACATTAAATAATAGTTTGTAACAAAATATATTTTGTGACAAACAGTTCTGTATTGACAGTAATCAGATAGGAAACAGAAAGAGAGATAAGCGGGTGAAGAAAGTCTGCGGGCGGTGAATTGAACCCGAGACAGCTGTGTAAAACTTTTCAGCTTATAAACTAAAGTAAGATGCTTGTGACCCCGACTCTTGGATAAGCGTACAAACATTTTTTTTAAGAGAGTCACAGTGGTACAAGGGCAACACTTTCAGCATATAGAGCTAATATTTTGCATTTGTATGTTGTTTTTATTTGTTTAGGTTCTCTTTATTTTTCTTTTACACTGTTTATGAAATGCATATGCTTTCTCATTACAATTTTTGGTATTTAGCTCTGAGTATGGGGCTCCTGCTTTACAAATGTGCCTCCACAGTGAAAGAACAAATAGTATTTTGCATTTAAGATCCTACATTTTTAAATTTTATTCTATTTTATTTAATTTTATCCCATTTCGGACTAAATGCTTTTCGAAAATAAATGGTAGTTTGAAATTATTTTAAATGTTTCTATTTTGGACAAGATAAACATTGGGCTTGATAAACTTTCCCCTAATTTATGATATAATGAGGGAATGATGCACACAGAATTAAAATATAAATACTTGCTCCCATATATACATACACTCCCAGTAGTATTTGGCTAAATGTCTTTCAAATAGCTGCATCGGAATGACAGAGCTCATTTCAGTGATACACTAGTTTAGATTTCTGTTCGTTGCCTGCTTAGAACACCAATTAATCCCAAGTTCCAACCATCTTGGATCATAAAATCTATAATAAATTTATACTTGTGCACCAAGTCTTCTTTTCAAATTTCAGTTGCATGTTTGTTTGTTTGTTTTTTTTTTTTTTTTTTTTTAAATCCCTCTACAATAAAGAGAGATCAGTTGAAAAGGAATCCTGAAAAGCCCAAAATGAAGTGTTTTGGTGAGCATGAGTCAGATTTTACCAACACTGGTACAGAAAGCAGAGTTCTTCAACCCTGTGGTAGGCAGAGCTATCATCTTAGTTTGACTGCTGTGCACATACACAAAGCGGTACATGTTACGCTGCAAACACAGTCTTCTTTTAAATGATGCGTGTAAAGTGAGAAGATACTTGGATTCATTCCTCTGGTTTTTAAGGCAGCAACTAATATTGATTGCTTTTATTGATCAAATGCGTCTGGAAAGCTGCCGGTCGGCTGCTGGTTGGATGATTTCTCATTTAGCATTGATTTGCTCTTACACACAAAAGATCCTGGGAAATTAGCGTTCTTTGGGCTTATTGTGTGTGTTTCTCACTGGGGCAGCTGATTTATTAATAACTTTTTGCTCTTTGGGAGTTTAAGGGAAGAATTAAACCTCTATATGTGCGCAGGCCGCCTTCACCCAGACAGCTTGCATTCCCCGCACCGTCATCCCTGGACACGTGAAAGACAGAACCCGTAGGAAACGCAGAGTGCACATATTAGGTTTCATTAGTGCCGTGTTTGCGTGTGCTTGTTTAAAAGCACAGGCTGTATATCTGCTGCCATGTAAAGACTCCCATGTGTGAGCAGAGAGTGTCTGGCTGGCCATTAGTTCAGCTCAGTTACCGTGGGAAATAAAGCTCTGTACATCAGGCTCATTCAACAGCTCTCCCTCCTACAGTATGTCAGCTCAACCCCAAATCACCACTCTGTCCGTCCATCTCTCCGACTGCCTCTGCTCTGTGCAGCTCTTTGCATCTTTTTCCTTCTCAGCTGCCTGACAGTATCTCTTGCTTCCTTTGGTCGTTGGAAAAAGAAGAAAATAGAAATGGCATGGCGCCAGTGTGTTTCTGTGATAATCAGCTCATCTGACAAATGTGAGGGTTTATTCTTTAGCCTTTAAAAGTTTTTTGCGCTTCACTATTTTAAGCTGATATTTGTTTGACGTGTGTGGTATGAGATAAAATTGACCGATGGTTCAGCTGTCCGTCCCTCTACCTGGTTTTGAATTCATTCATTCGGTTTCTTTAATGAAACACTTAACTTTTATTTGTTGTGTATGTGTACTACAATTTAATTGTTAAAAAAACGTGTTTTTATAGAGCTCAAAAATGTATTCTGTTCTTCTGACGTTTTTTTTTTAAGTGGTCCCAAATTCTCAGCTCAGGCAAGTATAAGGGAAATCCATGCATATGAAAATTGTATAAAACAAAATGGAGTGCATAAGAACCATACTTCATTTTCTGTGCAGCTTCAAAGACTGGGTCTTTAGAGCCCCGGTGTGTGAAAAAAGTTGCTGCTAATCTCTAGTTTGCAGTTCATTTCAGTAAATCGCGCCATTTATGTGTTCAGTTTATTGCCTTGATATCAAAAACATTTGGCTTCCACACATGGATATTTTCACACGTCCATTTTTAGTCAACGTACCAGAATTTGAATTATTAAAATGACCAAAATGTTTCCTCTTGATGTAATTTTTTTAGATTTAATCTTTAACTTTTGGAAATGCCGCATGCACAGTGTGCATTGACAACTTTAGCAATGACTTTTCTAATTTCTTTCTCGCGATATGTCAATCAACAAGTCGGAAATTCTCTTTAAACCGCTTTGTGTGAAATGGACACAGTTATGTGTCTGCATATCTGTACTCACTGACAATAAGTCTTCTAACTGCCATGAATTAACACAAATTTCTGCCACTATCTAACAAGACATTATTATTTTAGCTCAATCCTTACAGAGAGATGCTGTGTTATCGGCACAAAAACATAGGGGAAAAAAATGCTAATTTCTGAATATAACAGTGGGAGCTTTGTAAGGCAGTGTGGAAACTATCACCATCCCCTCTCCTACTGCCATAAATGGACCTTTTGATCTGGCCTCTCCCTCTGGTTGTGTGTAACACTGCTTAACTCCCGGCCTTCTGAGACGTATCTCACAACTGGGACTTGCACCAATTGATCTTAAAACTTGCTTGAGAGGATAATTGCCCCCTGCGCTTGCTCTGGCTCCTCATTGCAAAGCTGCGCTGCAGTAACCGCGGACGGACTTCCAACGCTTTTTGACACATGATCGGGATCCATCACAAGCTCGTGTTATATGCTTGCCGCCAGATTTGAGAGTCCACACTCAGAAACCCTTGAAGCGCAGCAGGGTTTGTTATGTTTCTTTCCATGAGGCTGAGCAGCATCCACATTTTAAGCACTTGAAAGCTTGCAGTAGACGTCCATGGGAATACAGGCTCTTTTTTCTTCTTCTTTTTTTTTTTTTTAAAGAAGCTTGTATGTCTGTGGTAACGTGCACCTGTTAGACAAGCACATCAAACACAAAAGAAAGAGGGTGAGTATCAAAGCACAGGTATACACAATTTAGGTAGCCTTTTTTCCTTTGTTATATTGCCGAACATCTTCCTTCTTTCATCTGTCTTTTTCTTGCACATATTCACTTCTTTTCATTCTCCTTTTCCAGCCACATGAAGCCGGCAGAAACCCACGCAGAACAAGTTCAGGTCAGTCTTTAGATGTCTTTCCATTTTTATTCCTCCCAGGTTAAATATTTCTTTGGATGTTGTGCTTAGAATTGTCGCATAAAACACATTTTAGCCTTCATCTGTTTTTCTATGGTGTTTCCATCAGTGTTTTGTTGCATTAACTTTTTTTTTTTGCGCTGTTCAGCTGGAAACACTTCCCCTGCTCAACATTATTAAATTAAAAATTTTATGCAAGTGCTGAGATGTTGGTATCAGCCTTCAATCTGTCCTCTGTTCTGCTCATTTCAGCAGACTCACTCTGTATTTAGTCTAATTTAACCGGCCATTTAGCTAATTGAATTTTTAATGGCAATGTCAGCACTCTACATGTATAAGCAGTGCACGCTTCCTCCAGCAGGTGGCGACATCCTCTCGAGCTGAGAGGTCCATATTTATGAGTCTGTTTTTGACCTTGGACATAGTTAGGTTTAATGCACCACGTACACAAACAAACTCTTCAGGAATAAGATCAAAAGTGGACCCTGAGAGATGAAGGATGAAGCTAAATTAGAAAGGATGGGAGAAGAAAAGACGGAGGGAAAGTGGGTGCTTGAGGAGCAGTTTTTGTATTGATTACACATCACCGGTGAGGTGATAAAAGCCTTCTCCTGTGACCCTGACCTGTATTCCCTCTTTGTAAAACAAATGTCTCAGACTCAACAAATTGACTGTAGATAAACATCTTCCCAACTCTTCTCTTCTTCGGTTATTCTTATTGTTTGAGGCAAACATCAGTTGTAGTTAAAGACCAAATAGGAATTAAAAGAAAATCTTTGCACATTTGGACTCAACAGTTGTGCCAACATTTTCCAAATATGTCGCATATACACTCAAATACTCCTCAAATATTGTTTTAAGCTATACTGCTGCTCTTTTACAAGGACCTTACCGTTTTATTTCATGTCTTTTGTGGCAACTCTCTGACACTCCTGCTAGCTGCACTTATCCAGCCTTCTTTGTCACAGTTCCAGTTGTTGTAAAGTTTTGAACTGTTGCTCTGACTGCAGATATGGACATTTTAGAGAGCAGCTCTGCTCTTTGTGACATATAAAGATCCACAGCCAAGGCTGTAGATAAACATCTTCCCAACTTACCTTCCCTCTTCCCTCAGTTAATACAAAACTGAGCATGCTGTCTTGGCCTTCCCGTTTTGAAGTTTGGAGAAGAGTAATGGACCTCTGTGTCACAGCAAGGCAAATACTAAATATTAACGTGGATACATACATGATTCATTTTGGAAAGCTCAAACTGAAAAATTACATAATCACATTTTAATTTGTTTTTTTATTTTTACACTGAATCAAATTATAAGTTGGATTTTTTTCATTTTGTTTTTCCAGACTATTCTTGTATGCACTAATATATATGAACTTATGTTGACACATTTTCACCAGTGATGTGAGTGGATGTGTTTGGTGGTGCGTGTCTCTCACATAAACCCTGACATCTATAATACTGCAGTCAAATTATTCTACCATATGTGCTCTCTTAAACTTTATAAACTGCATGCATACAAAATAAAAATAAAGAAGCTTTGCACTTCTTTCAACTCTAGCAGACCTAATTTTTTATGTTCATTATAAACACCAGTCCTGCATGATTTGTCACCACAGCAGCCTCACCCACCACCCACCCGCCCGCCTCCCTCCCAGCCCTCTCCCTAAAAGCTGCCAGCAGTGTCCCCTTCTCCTTCCACCTCTCTGAAACATTTATGACAGCTGATGTTTAAATCAGGAGTCGGCCTCAGCGCACCCTGTTATAATGGGAGAGACCAGCCCAGCGGCTCAGTTTTCCACATGTGCTCAGTCGCACCCATGCTTATACACACAAACACTAACAATAAAAATTGGACAACACTGAACAAATATTATGCATCGGATAAAAAAAAAAAAAAAAAGATTAAATACTGGGGTTAAATAAATAAATAAATAAAGTATTCACTGCCAACGTCTCGGTTTTATCTTTTAACATTTTTGCCGGGTTTTTATGAGCTGAAGAAACTGGCTCTGCTGCTTTTGTCACTGATTTAAGCAAAGTAAAAAGCGACTTTAAATGCTTTGTGGATAGTAAACACTTGTGACTACACTGTGGTACTAATTAGCTCAATCTCAGCGTCTTTTATTACTTCATGTGACGTTCATGTGAACTCTTTTACAATGACGCGCATCTATTTTTGCCTGCGACCCAGCCTTTGCTTTGTCTCCTGCTTTGTTCAGCGGTTCGGTTTAACAACAACGGGATGGGGCCAAGGGGGGGGTGGAGGTGGAACGGGTTGGTTTATATGAGGTTTATTAACATATGTCTGGGACTCTCGTCGCTGCTCGGGATAAAATATTGTGTGCGCATCGTGTGTGTGCGTGTGTGTGTGTGTGAGAGGGGGTTCAGCTGTGGATCAGTGTGTTGCTGAATGTTTGATTATGCGAATGGTTTTAAATTTCAAAGATCTGCAAGCGTCTGAGAGGTGCTCAATTAAATCAAAGCAGCGCCCTTTGGGGGGATTGCATGTATTATGTGAGCTTCTGCTACTGTAGACTGAATAAGTGTGGCACCTTTTTTATTTTTTAAAGAAATGAACATTTTTAAAAAAGGCCTGGTTATCTTTGATATCAGTTACAGTTATTTTTGGTGGGCATCATCACTATGCTGTGTGAATTTTCATTATTTATTAGATTTATGTCAGCAAAAGTGATAAAAATATAAAAGCCCTCTATAAATCATGAAATATCGTGTGTGTGTGTTTCTCCTGTAACACGTGAGCAGCTTTTTTAAGCTCTAACCTCAATCTATGGAGAACGCTCCTCCATTTAAGTGTCAGATGACTGCTGGCGATTTGATGAACTCTTTTAATTTTGCAGTTCTTCCCCAGCAAAGCTCAGCAGATACAGACTCATTGACCTCAATTATCTCCATGTCAAATCCAGACCCACGTAGGCACCTGACTATATAACTTCGATGACATGAACAGCAAGATTAAAAGACGGGAAACACGGTCAGCAATTTTAAAAATTCTTTTTGACTGTCACAACTTGGTGATACGGTTGTTGCGAGAACGGGCTGTAATGTCCAACAAGTTTTGGAGTGATTTCTTTCCTTTGTTAAAGTTTATTTTTATGCAATGGTATAATGAGATCCCATTTCAAGCAATGCATTCTGTGATTACAATGTCTTTCCTTTAATTTCCTTTTAATATCTTTGGATTACTTGGTGCATGTATTGTGCTACACCAATAAACTTGCCTTATTACCTAACTTTATAAGGTTTTATAACTAACTACCTAACCCACAGTCAGGCATGTACAAAGAACTTCTAAAATTACCACACCGTCAAAGTCCCACCTTTTAAGAGGCTCAGCTAGGATTCATATTCATACTCCCCTCATTTTGAGTATTTTGTCCACCTCTTCAAGGTCAGCATGCCACAAATCAGCACACAAAGCCAGGAATGATGCCACATTCATCACTCTTATACAATATGCCACTTTATTCACACTAAAAAAATGTGCCTTGTTGCCACAGCAACATATCGGTTAAAGGTTTAGACATTTTAATGTGATTATAGCAAGACAGCTGAATTTAAATTGCACAATTTCATGCCTAAATCTTTTTTTTTTTTTTTTTTACAATATATCTGTGTTTGACTTTCCTCTATATTGCAGCAGTCTGGTGTTACGAACAGGCTTTGACACACATATCTAAGGTTTAATGCAGATTAACCAGAAGGTGGTTAAGGTCCACCCTGATGGTGATCAGATACACCAATCACAGAGAGGCACATACACACAGATCATTAACTGCACCCTTTTAACCCCCCCCCCCACACACACACACAGCCTGCATGGCCTTTGTTTTTAGGGCATGAACACACACATTGACACAGTTACAGATGTGTTTGCACATATAATCTCTATCCCGCGGTTTATCTATCTCTCTCTCTCTTTTTTTTCTCACACACATTTTTCCACTCTTCCCACTCACACCTTTTCTATCACGTGCCTATCTCCCACACATCCAGACACACTCTTTCATTAGTAAGACGCTCACAGGCACAAGCAGGGATTCTCCATTGTCCTCCCTATCAGCCTGCGGGATGAGGCTTACTAATTAATATTTAACTGAAGCCCGCCTCCAAGCAGGGGGAGAGATGAGGAGATAGAGGACTGGAGTGAGAGGAAGGTGGAGGGATGGCCAGGAAGGGGAGCAGGAGGGCGGAGAAGAAGAGTGGGGACAGGGATCAGAGAGGAGAAGAGGCTGGAAGGAGGAGGTTAGGCTATTGATCAGAGGGATAAGAAGGTGAGAGATGAGAGCAGGAAGGCTGTGATAAGACCGACTGGAGAAACACTGGATTTGATGGAAAAAGAGAGAAAGTCCGTGGTGCAAAAGAGACAGAACAACCTCAATGAATGTATGACGGGATAAACTCTTAGAAAAATTAATTTTTGGTCAATTATAGTAAGGTACGTGAGGGTTTTAATAAATTTAGCACATCAGCAGAACTCAAAATTTACATCCTCTCAGCTGTGTGTGAAAACTGGCATATCCACCAGAAATCTTATCTCACTCTTGGATTATTTTTTTTTATTTTTTTCATTTTTTCAAAAGAAAAGTTGACTCAGTCTTGCTTTGCTTAATGCCGCGTCTCACCCGCCACAGCGACTTGATGTCTGTCATTGTGATTCATCTGAGGATGCGAAATGACACACGTAAACAAGTGTAAGGCTTGAGAACCCATTTCACTTTGAAACAATGACAAGTTGTGCTGGAACCTTTCACTGGTGCAAATCTGAAGAAGTCAGAGGAAGCCGGAGTTATTGGCAGAATATAAAGTATTCACACACCTCTGAATCCCAGAATGTGGTGGCTCTGTTCACAGCTGGGAGACAGTGCAGTTTGATCACTTTTTTCCTCTCTTCTTACCTCTGTTAGGGAGGTTTGCGCAATAACGACTCCAATTGGCAATCCTTTATATTATCTACAATATGT